CCCGAGAGACTGAAACCACGAGAGGCGCTGTTTGGGGGGCGCACGAATGCTTATAAGCTCTATCACAAAACGACAGATGGCGAGAAAATAAGTTATGTAGATTTTACCAGCTTGTACCCATTCTGTCAGGCGAGGAAGAGCTATCCGATCGAACACCCGCAAATCATTTTCAAAGATTTCGAACCGATAGAAATTATTATGGGCTTATCAAGGCTACAGTATACCCGCCGGGTAAATTACTACATCCGGTTCTTCCTTACAGATGTGGAGGTAAACTCATGTTCCCGTTATGCCGAACCTGTGCACATGAGCAAAACCAGCTGACAACATGTAGCCATACAGATGCTGAGAGGGCGTTGTCAGGGTGCTGGGTCTCTATCGAGCTTTTAAAAGCCGTCGAGAAGGGGTATGTGGTGGCCAGGATAGACGAAGTGTGGCACTTTCCGCAACAGTCTGATACGCTGTTTCGTGAGTATGTAAAGACGTTTTTACGTTTAAAACAGCAGGCGTCGGGGTATCCGTCGTACGTCGTAACGGAATCTGACAAAGAGGCATACATTCGTGAGTATTTTGAAAAAGAGGGGATACGTCTCGACCCCGACAAGATTGAGTACAACCCTGCTCAGAGGGCCATCAACAAATTATTGTTGAATAGTCTCTGGGGCCGCTTCTCGTTGCGCGAGGATCTACCGATTACCATTATGGTGAAAGATCCTGAAGAATTCACCAGAATCGTTTTTGGTAAAACCGACGCATTGTCATGCTTCACATTCATCTCAGACGATATTGCGCTTGTTCAGTATCGCAACCCCAAAGGTAGTGTTCGTAGTACTAAAGATGTCAACGTGTTTGTAGGTGCGTTTACAACAGCTCATGCTCGGTTGGAGTTGTACGACCTGATGGACAAACTCGGCGACAGACTGCTTTATTCCGACACCGATAGCGTCATTTTCGTGTCTAGGGAGGGGGACTGGGACCCTCCGCTCGGGGATCATTTAGGGGAACTGACGAATGAAATAGACGCTGGGGACCATATCACAGAGTTTTGCTCTAGCGGACCTAAATCGTACGGCTATCGCACAGCTAAAGGCAAAGTATGCATGAAGGCTAAAGGTATAACGTTGAATGCTAGAAATTCACAAGCTATATGCTTAGACAGTCTGATTGGTCTGGTCGACAGGTATGTGACATCGAATGTCAGCCAGCCGAACCATCAGCTTAAACACAAATTACTTAATTCTGTTTAAAAATCCTCGGGATGTCAATCAAGTGGCTGTGTTAGGTCGACAAATGTACCCCGGGAACGGAAAGTACTTTATGGAGTGTTATCATGATGCGACCAGTCAGCCTTTTGGCTATTTAATGATAGACTATAAAGCGAAAACTCCAGAGCAATACCGACTCAGAACAGGATTGCTTTCCGATCGTCAAGTGGTTAATCTCCAGAAAAAAAGAAGAAGAACGTGATAAATCGTCATGTCTGCAAGACTTTATAAGCATCTGCCGCTGTTAAAACGACTACATAAAGCACCGCCTAAACGCAGACGTCTTATTTTACAAACGGCGTCCGACGAATTCATTCTAACACTCTGTGAAGTGGCGTTTAACATCCTCTATGGTACGATTCCGGTCACCCCCCGTCAGTACCAAAAGCTGAAAAAGAGAAAAGCTGACATTAAATTTGTTGCCAATAAAAAATTTGGTATATTGGCCAAGAAGCGTATCTTTAACCAAAGAGGAGGGTTTCTACTTCCACTCCTAAGCGTCGCCGTCCCCTTCATTTCAAGTTTAATAGCGGCTAGACAGGGTTGATGATGGAGTATGCAGAGAAAATGTATTTAGTACCACAGCATCAGCTGGAGAAGTTGAAATCTGGAAATGGTCGTGAGAATATTCAACAGGTCGTAGAGAATGATCTGGATGCATCCATAAGAGATATTTTACTCAGAGCCGATTTGGATCAACATGAAAAAGCCAAGCGTTACACAAATATCCTAACCAGGTTTTTAACCATTGTTAAACAAGGCGATCATGAGAACAGTGTGATAACATTGGCATTACCCCATCCCGATCGGGGTGATAAAAACGAACTCGGAGCCTCTAATGTCGACGACGACACAACTGGTGAAGCTATTGTGGGTGAAGTTCTGAAGAATGTGCCGTCGAGAAGTGTGAAAAACAGCAGATACATATTAGACAAAATGTCTAAAGCTAAAGGAATAAGCTCTTGGACCGATATGGGGGAGTTTGTGTTCAGGGGTAAAGCCATACAAGGGTCCCACATGGTTGATTTGCTAAAAAATGCTACGGCTCCACATAACGTTCGGAATGATCGAAGACCTATAGGTTGGTCGGAGTTTCTACAGGCGTTTGCTGAATTAAACATTCCTTTTTCTACGGTGCCGAATCATCATGTTAGACGTCTGATTAATTCGTTAAAGAGTAAACCTGTTGCGTCTACACCCATCCATATTCAGCCTTCTAAAAAGACTCGAAGATATTCAAGCTCTTCAGCTCCTCACTCAGAAGTCACCATGTTTAAATCACCGACTATCGAACGTCGGCAATGGTTAGAATTTTAAGACGACTATATTTTCAGGTGTATGTAATATCTGAAGCATGAATCGATGTGTATGTATGTGTATGCCATATGAATGAACCGAAATAAAAGATTGCAATTTATCAAATTTAAAGAATTTTTATTGTGTTGATACAAATATATTGATTACTCAATCATGATTCATCGAAGTATTACAGGTTTGCACACAATGAATACATGAAAGCATTTTATCATTACAACCATACGGGGTTAATCTGTGTACAAAGACCGATACCATTTTATCATTTTTAGTATAATCATGACTATACAGTTTCATCACATCGCGATAGTCACGACCCTTGACTAGATGATATAGGAAAAGCACACAGTGTTGTCCACAAGTATCTGATGAAAAGTCCTGAACACGTCTGTCTGAATATAACACATCGACATCGTTGGCTCCTGAGAAGTTGTTGATGGCAGGTGGAAACCGGTCGCTGGTGGGAGGGTTGCCAAAACTGTCGAAAAAACAAGCTGTACCATCTTGAGTCAAATAAATAGCAAGCCAGTGTTCACCCGGTAGGTGGGAAGGGTGTGTATTAATTATACACATCGATGGAAAGATCCTTAACCCCTTACTAGTCGGCCCCAATTTTGGCAAGTGAAGCATTCATGACATACCCAAAATAAAAAGGTTGCTGCTCTTAAGTCATTCTGAATAGACACATAACCAACATATATTTAGAAAGCCAACCCTTGAGAGTTTACATTTCAAGACTCAAAATTAATCAGACTGTTATTAATATTGAGATATATAAGCTCAAACATAAAAACAAAAACAACAAATATTAAGAACATATTTATTAAATGTATACAAATATTATGTGAATTTAGGATAGCAACTTGAAACCACAACTAAAGTGTAGCCACAATTGTGGTCATGCTTCATTTAAAATCTGAGGATGATATTTCTAAAATTATGCATTTTATTAAGCCTATTGTGAAACCATGTCAGGAGAGAGTTTAGAGAAGTTTTATAGGATGCTAATATAAGATTCTCATCAATTATTTTATTGCCCTGTAAACACCCATTTACAGTCTCTGACTAATGTCTGGCGAGGAGAACTGGCCCATTCATGTTCTTTTCATTTAATCGACCAACATTTCACACCTATGCCGGTATGAGACTTAATCTTCATTATTCTTTTATCCTTATTCTTTTGTTTGAATTCAGCCATTATAGCCTATATTGGCCATCTAAACCTCTCTGATCCCACCCTACATGATCAATCCATCTATTATATTAAGTCTTGTTAGAAAACAAACAATTCTTGGAACTTTAAATGCGAATTATTTTATTTTTTAAATGATTGTATGAAATGGAATAGCTTCTGCAAGCAGGTGCATTAGCACAAGTAGCCTCGAGCTACATGACACAATTTAATGTATTAATATTACACTTTTATTCAAAGTTCACTTTAAAACAACATCGAGTATTTGTATCATATGCCGGTCGCGGATTAAAATGGTTTCAAGTCATGAAAAGATTTTGAAATATGTTATATTTAGCATTTCAGATGAAGCTATGGGCTAGCCTTTCCTAGCATATGCATTCTGTAAACATTCTGTATTGATATGAAAACCCCAAATCGCACGAAAATCAAACACAAAACACATAATATTTCAATCGTGCATTTATTAGTTCCTTGTTTCGGGTGAAGAGATGTCAGTTTCGCTTTGTTATCACGGATGTCCAGTATGAGGAAGTGTACACATGACGCGTCATGCAGAAGAGGTCACGCTGGACCACGTGAGATGATTGACAGCTGTACAGCGAATGATATAGCTTTGAGGTCAAATGTGACGCGATTCAGGAAGAGAAGACACACATCTCGCTCCGTTCGCTGTCTGAGCTCTTTAGATCGCACATTTCAGTGGTAAATGAATAGAAATGTTATTCTTTATGAAGAAATATTTTACTAGCATGTGATAATTATTAATCATTTCTCCAAATATGCGCACAATTGGACTAATAGCCCTGGCGGATGCTGTATATTGTACGTATTTGAACACAAATAAACCGGAGAACACGAGAATTAATGTTTTATGAGTGATGATTTCTATTCAAAATAACGAACATTACAGATTAATTATTTTGCACTCCTGGCATAAATTAAGAAATTAATATCACTGCAAACCAGTTAAATCATAAACAGTGGTCAAACATCGAAGCTGTAGACTTCAACCTTTCTTATGATGCTGAGTTCGTCCAGATCAAGTAAGAGTGTGATATTTTGACAAGTAATGACTTTTGAACAACACTAATCCGGGATCACCAGTGATCCCTGCCTATCAAGGGGTTAACGCTTTTTTAGGGAGTTGATCGCTCGGGAGAACTCCTAGAAAATGAGTGTTGCATGTGATTTTATCCATGATTCCTACGAGCTGTACCGTATTCATTTCAGTAGTAATCGACCAGGACCTGTCTACGGTTAGACACTTCAACGATACTGTCAAACACTGCGTAAATGATCAGGTTAATAGTGTGTGGCAGCGGTTGTCTGAACCGGGCTTCGAGTCTGATATTCCCGGACTTGACGAGGGATATATGCTGACCGCAGTCTTCATCAGGCGTGAGGTTGAAGGCGTAAAGTGTGTACCCATTGAGGAAATCATTCCTGTCGATAGACAGGGCCTGGTTCTTAAGATGTCTTCCGGTCGTCATTGCAAGCTGATAAAATTCACGAACTGCTAATCCGGCTTCAAAATTCGGTTGTAGAGGCTTGGCCGGGAATTGTTGTCCATCAACGTAGACCGCTAGGAACTCCAAATCGTAATGTTTGAACGCAAAGGGGTTTTTATCGTAGGACCCTGTGAATGCGTCGTTATCGACCATAGCTAGGACGATAGATTTTGGTAGCGTTCCTAAAAACAGATTTTCTTGATTTGATACACGAGCCCCGGCAGGTATGGAGAAATTTTTTAGGCATACCCGGTCTATGGGGTACTTGGCGGTAGTCGATAACAACGCCTGGGCATGCCCCAGTCTCACAGGAGGTGATACAGAGACTTTCTTGACGTATAGGGAGGCCGTCACAATATTTAATTTGTACGCCACGTCATCACACCTCATCAGACAGAATTCGTCTTGACTTCGGGTCATGCGTATTTTGATGTCAACCCCGTTTAAGATTAATTTTTCTTGAAAGAAGATATCACTATGAATAGGGGCCAACAACTCCACCACCTTACTACCACTCGTGTAGAGCGATCGCTTCGTCAAACCCCCGTTACGACCCACGGGGTCATTCACATCCATATGACCAGCGGTGTCTTTGAAAAACAGACCGGCTGAGAATAGTGATTCCAGCGCATCTTTACTGTAGTTGATCAGGCTCTCTATAATGCATCGGTAAGGGTACGTGCTCGAGCTCTGGGATATCAGTCGATCGCCGAGGCTCACATCAACTTGTGAGAATATAGTGGCTCCGGGGTAGTTTATCAGAGCAACCCTCGCAGGGTCTGCAATGTCTGCTCCGTTAGGTCTCGTGATTTTAAGTTTGAGATATAATAATGTATTATTTAGATCCACATAATCTTCGCCGTTCCCCGCTATGAAAAACTCCAAAGGGGCCGAGTCCGATATAGCCGATAAAGGCGGTACTTCTAAATAGCCGTTTTTCTCAATAACCGTTTGTGTTAGTGGAACCGTAAATAAGTCTAACTCAGACTTAATGCATTCACCCGACATGCGGTGCAGTAACGCCATGTTAGAATATTGATTTTATGGCTCTCTTAACAGAGGCTTTCCGACTCACAGACTTCTTACGCTTTCGTCGTATGACTGAGCGTCTCTTAGGACCCCGCTTTGTTTTCTTCTTTAGCTGACGACCACGCCTCCTCACACCCGGTGGTTTAGACATTCTCTTACGAGCCATGACCATCAGACCGGAGCCGTCTTGAGTTCTAGTATTATTGGCATACGATCTCGACAACGCATTTGAGACAACGTCGGATACTATATTTTTAGCAGCAGATTTTAGGTGGGGTTTCGCGATACTAAATCCTCTTTTTAGTAGTGGTATGGCCATCCTAAACAGCCCCCTGAAAAGACCTCCCAGCCCCGCCCCATACATAACTCCCCCACCTGAATATCCGGGTAGACCTCCACCGGCCTGATTTTGGTAGTAGTTAACATATTCAGCAGCATTCGTCTCGCGGGGGTTATAATAATAGCTCATTTTTAAAGAATTGTATGATTCGCCGGCTTAAAGTGTAGTTTTACGATGACTTTGCCGTAAGAAAATGGTATTTCACGATTTTGATCGTCCTTAAGCTCTATGGCGATGTCAGTAATGTGGTCCTTATTGATTGACGCGTAATGGGGGCTATCGTATCTAACACTGACTGTTTCATTGTCTTCACCCGATATATGTACGCATCTCAAAAGGGGTACATACGAATCCCCAACTGACTGATATTGAATAATGTCGGTGTAGACGTAGAACGTATAGAACCCCGCGTTGATATCGGCTTGATGAGGAGCGTACATCATAACGGTTTTCGTCAAATCTGCTTCTTTATCGTCGTTTGATTGCCCGAGATAGCCCCCCCTCGATACTCCTAAAATAATGCCGAGTCTCCCTCGGAAGTATAGTGAAACGTTGGGATGTGCTCGCAGAAACACTTTGTTTTTTATTTCATCGTGAGTCAATACCCCATGATTTAGGATAAGTTGATTTATAAGGCGGATGATGGCGTGAATATTTGGGTAGTACCCTCCGGCTATGTTTAATTTTATCGCTTTGTTTTTTTTAATCGTATCACCATCCGGCTCAATGTTTAGGGTGAAATATCCTTCTTTGTCATTAAAGGAGTACCAGCTTCTAGGATATTCGATTTCATCGAGTCCGACTTCCCATTGTCCTTTCAAGTTTATAGTTTTTGCTAGCCTGGTTGTATAGCTGGATAAACGATTTTCAGGATACACCGCCAAAGAGGCGTTGCATGGTAGTGTAACATAGAAGCCGTGATCCTCCATGGTAATCCTTCACACGTATGATCTCATCCGACACACGTTCACATGTTTTTAAGGTCTTTGTAAGTCCACCAGAGCTTTTTTATCAATGTAGCTATTGAATTTCGCAGGCCATCCTAACCATTTCACTAATATTAGTGTAGATCGACCCTGTTTTTTCTGACCTAAAATCTTTTCCACCTTAAAAAATTTTTTTTTACTTACAATTTTTTTTTGTAACTCCTTTTCATAAAAATAGTTAGTTTCGCCGTCATAATCCGATAGTCTGTAGACGGGGGGTTGACGCGGAATACATGCTGATATGGTGAAAAATTCCTCTGTATAGTTCTGTTCATAACCTTTGGTGAACGGACCTCGCACTTTGGAGATCCTCACAACATCACCTACTTTGAACTTAAATTCACATTTCTTGTTCTTCTTTATTTCTCCGTACAAATTTTGATAAACCTGTGCGTCGTTTATTTTATCAACGTCCACCGGTCTCATTCTAATACTCCTGTGATAACTGGAGTTGTATCCCTGCAGGATATCTTGTAAAACATCGATGTATCGTCGGGAATTTGTAGCCGTTAAAAATCGCCACATACGACTTTTTAATGTTCTGTTAAAACGCTCCACAACGCTTGCTTTCAAATCGGTAGCGGTAGCGAAATGATTGATTTTATGCTTTTTCATAACATCTTGAAAATGTTTGTTAAAAAACTCCTTGCCCTGATCCGTCTGCAATTTCTGCGGAACACGACCCTCTTCGAGTATAGACACAAACGCTTTAGTTACTTCAATACCAGTCTTATTCTTCAGTGCACGGACCCATGCGTACTTGCTAAATACATCGATGCACGTCAGCAAATATTTATTATTATCATTTTCCTTGGAATAGGCTGTCATGTCCACAAGATCGGCTTGGAATTGAGCATCTATCGCATACACCACAACTCTATTGCGTTTGTATTTTATAGGAGCTGTTCTGTGTAATGTATAGGCGTCCTCTCCAGACAACCAATCGGAAACCTCTTTATCACTTAGTCTAACTCCACTATCCTTTAAGATGGCGTCTTTTAAACGCTTTTTACCCCCTAAAGACCCTGGATTGGATGGTGTATAATAAGCATTTTTCATAAGCTCCGACATGTTGACGTGTCAAACTCTGTAAAAGAATAACTCATACGAACTATGTGTTTCAATCTTTTATTAAAAAATACAATACAAAAACACCCGATTAATGTTGCAAGCTGTAAACTGTATACATAATGGTTGCATGCCCTAAGTAAAAATAAAAATCAATAATGGTAAGATGTTAGTACATCGTATTTAAAAGGTATTAATAACATAGTTAATAGGCTAACCAGAAGAGAAAATTTCTACATGCCATCATGTTGCGGTCTAGGATGTAATTGACAAACATTTCAATAATCTGGGCCGTGTCATCCTCATCATTGTCTTTTCGTTTTGAAATCAATAGCTGGCATACGTCTGTTACATATGTACACATACATAACAAATCGGGGGTTGCAAACTCATCGCTACAATCAACCATCATATCCAAAGCATCTTTTATCAGTACACATGGTGGTGCAATACCGTTGACGCATATAGTTGGTAAATTTACCCATGAACTATGCACGCCTCTTAAAAATTTCATTTGTACCTTGAGATTTCTTACACATTTGCTTACGAAATCAACATCATCATCATCATCATCACTATCATCATCCGATTGTCTGTCGTACTCGATGACTTTTTGCAGCACTGAAATTAGTTGGCTTCTGTAATGACCTTTAAACATGAATTCCATGAAACTCTTACGGCTAAAGGCTGCAGCCATGCTGACAGGATCGTGGTCACTCATCATTCACGATCGCGAATCCGGTCCACAGATCAACAACGTCGTAGACGAAATCCTTACAGGTCTTGTCCAGAAGTTTGTCCCTGATTTCTTGTAGTTTAGTACCGATGAATGGTTCGTCTCTTAATTCATGTAGAATAGAGCCGACTGTTCCTTGAATCGTCTGAGGATGCGATTTTAATCCACACCTGTTTAGGACAAATGCTATGATGAGTCGTAGGTTAGGTTTAAACAACTTGTTGGATAGCTCATCAAAGTGGGTTTCGAAGAAGTATGTGGGGGGTTCATACAGACAGGAATGTTGTAGTTGGCTTGGATGATCCGTTGCACAACCCTCGCACTCCTCCTTCAGCTTCTCATCGATGAGATGTTGCAGCAGCAGCACGATTGTAGCTTTTACGATTTTGAATCCAATAGCACTGAAGCATCCATCAGTAGCGTCGAAGCCGGGTTTAGTAGCGCCACCACCACACACGTCAGTCAGGAAAGTCAGGTTACGGTATCCTAGTTCCGTTTCTGAGAGTCGGACGCGTCGGGACCGTCTGTTAGAACATTAGCAGTAGCATTGTCGTCAGGATCAGCAAGACCGCGATTGAAAGAGGCACCACAGTCACAGACATATTCGGAATCATCGTCTTGAGACATGGCTTATAAAGAGGAGCTGTGAGGAGGAAACAGACTTACCTCGGTTTATAATGGGCGTAGTAGATGGGCGGGGACGGGAGAGTGTATGTAGCGCTGCGCGCGCATCTCTCAGGATGGAACAGCTGCACTTTGATTTTAGTGTATCCGGCGTACATGTCACACCACTTGAACATCTTGTTTATCGATGAAAAAAGGAGACCCAGCAGGCATGTGTCGCTCCATTTGAACAAAAATTGCATAGCGTACAGATCTTGATGTTCATTTTGTAGAACCGCTCCTGAACGATCGCAAAGCTTTGTCTTATCTTTGCAACTGAATATGAACACACATTCGGCCTCTTTCTTGTTAGTATGATCCCCAACCACACGGTACCGAACATTTCCACCTTCCCCGTCCCACTCGCCGATGTACAATGGCTCGTTTCCACCATCATTCAAATCATTCCAGATGCGGGTGTAAAATAATGACCAGTCTTTTTCAGGAAATACCAGACAGGGATCTTCTCCCGGTATAAATACATCCAGGTTTTCGGTCGTGTAGAGCGTAACCGTGCGAAAGTGTTTATGAAATATGTAGCCGAATACCCGATTACTATTCATCAAAAATTCGCCTCTTACAATGGTCGAATTATCATGGAGAAACTATGTCAAACTGATATGCTCCTGACATTTTCTCGGTGCCATCATCAGATTTTCCACTATCTCTTCATCCATCTTACGCTCGGGGGTTTTAGCTGCATTAAAACAATCCATATCGATATGTCTCACCACACGTGTCTGCTTCACAGAAATACGATCGCCTATTTATACAGGGCTGAGAGACTGTAATAAAAGACATCCCCATTCCAAACATCCACCTGAAAAAACATTCCTCTCAGTCACACCAAGCAAATTGCCCCATCATAAACACACACACACATAAACACACAGCCATAAACTCCGGAAACACATGGTCAGGGTCAAAAGTTCACATACCATCTGGTGGTCGTAAAACCCCCATCCCTGCTACACATCCTGTCATAAATATTTCATAATCATATTCATAATCATAAATCATAACCTGTCATAAAAATCATATTTAGGGTCATAAATCATTTTTGACACAAGCTCCCTCATATATACTACTTATACACTCACCGGCCACTTTATTAGGTACGCCTGTCCAACTGCTCGTTAACACTTAATTTCTAAGCAGCCAATCACATGGCGGCAACTCAGTGCATTTAGGCATGTAGACATGG